TACAGCTGACAGATGCATTCCAAGTAAGGACCGGAGTCAGACAAGCTTAATTACTCTTCCCCTTCCTTTTCTGGTAATCTACTGGATTATGAAGACCTCGACATCTGAGGGAAAGCACGGAATACAAAGAACAGCTCGGAATCAATTAGAAGATTTGAACCGCGCAGATGACCTGGCCCTTCTGTCCCATACACACGAACAAACGCAGATGATGAGAACTAGTGTCGCAGCAGCCTCTGCATCAGTAAGCCTCAACATACACAAAGGAAAAAGCAAGATCCTCAAATACGACACAGAGAACACCAATCGAATCACACTTGATGGAGAAACTCTGGGCGAGAATGAAAAATTCACGTATCTGGGTAGCATCATCGATGAGCGTAGAGGATCTGATGTAGACGTAGAGGTGAGGATTGACAAAACAATGTCCTCATTCCTGCAATTAAAGAACATGTGGAACTCAAAACAACTGTCAACCAATATAAGAGTTAGAATTTTCAATACGAACGTCAAAACAGTTTTACTGTACGAAGCTGAAACTTGGAGAACTACTACAACCACCATCAAGAAATTAAAGTATTTATAAACAATTGTCTACGTGTGATATTGAATGTCCGTCGGTCGGATACCATCAGGAACAGCGTACTGTGATAGAGAACAAAGCGGCTTCCAACTGTTAGAGGGAATTGGAAAAAGACGCTAGTAGTCGGTAAGACATACATTGAGGAAACCATCAAAGTGCATCACGAGGCGGGTGCTAACTTGTAATTCTGAAGGGGAAAGGAGAATTGTAATGCCGAGGATCACACTACATCGGGAATGGGAAGCGGACATGAAAAGGAAGAATAGCAATTGGAAATAACTGGAAAGGATTTCTCAGGATAGGATTGGATGTGGAATGCTTTTGGGTGACCTATGCTCCTCCATGAGTAGTAACAAGCGTAAGTAGGTAAGCAAGGGTTTATACACAAACCAAACAGACCACATCATACACTAATATACAAAATAACATTTGCATATAATCACATAAGCGGCTGTGAATGTGGGAGACTGTAATTAGTAGATTGTGCATAGCTCAAGAACAGTAAATCGTGCATAGTTTATAGGTTGAAATAAAGCTTGTGATTTGAGGACTATAGTTATACATAATTTAGCCACTAAACATTTATACATAAAGAATACATGTCTAATATCTGTCCATAAACAGTTCTCAAAAGTTACCATTCATAATTCTCTCCGGATTTAACAGTGTCCTAAGTCGCTCTGTGCCGATTATTCTTCTTGATAGTCGATCAAGTGCTAACGCAGCAGTTTACCAATCTTGACTGACCTATATGATGTTCGTTGAGATCGTCTAACACCTTGAGATGTCTAGCTGAAATTGACTAAAGGAAAACCACTGACGACCGCGATTACGACAGTTGTTCGTTAAAGAGTTCATCTCATATGTACTCATTCTTATTCTGGGAGATCTCAAGTCAAACCTGCCGGCGCACATTTAAGCTGATGGTGACAACTCCACTGAAGCCCCGTTACTCAACCTCAATGGTGATTTGAGACTATTTAAAAATATTATTATTATTATTATTCACAAACATCTTATGGGTACATAAGTGTTGTGAAAAAACCATTTCGGGTTTTTTCAGAAAATGCAATAATACACAATTTTCAATAATGTTAGCATTATACTTGCCATATTTAAAAAAATAAGAATAATAATAGTAGAATATTAATAATAATAAATCGGGTCTGTGTAATTGAGATGAATATTGAATTGAGTTTAAAGAAGGAAATGGAGAAAATAAGGGAATAGAAATAAAGGAGACGTGAAATACGCAACCAGTGTAATAGGCGTGTTTATAAACACAGAACAAGAATAAACGACTATGTGTGTATTGTTAAATTAGTGACAAAAATAATTTATCATTATAGTAAGATATGACGCTAGAATAAATGTTTGTGCAGTTATAGTTTGGAGTGATGCTATGAAAGTTACAATTAAGTGAAAAGGATAATAAAATATCACTATGTATGGGTCATATGTGCATAGTGAAGATAAAACGAATCTGAGAAGTTAATTTAAATGTAACACAAGTTATTGTCTTAATTACATACTTCTTAATCTTAAGAATAAAATTTATTTAGCAGGGAAGAAGAGAGAGAAAAGAAGTGAACACCTAGTGAAAAGGTTCATCCATGATAAGAATAATAATTGTGTAATGAATATCAACCTGAGAAGAAAACCAGCAATTGAAAAAAATCCTTTAAAGCACTCGGATGAATACATTTAGATTTATGTAATAGTATACAGAATGAAACCGGATATTAGTATAAATATTTGTGCAATAATAATTAAGATTGATGCCATGAAAGTCAAAATTGATTTCAAAGGACAATCTGGAGTTAACTATGTTTAGAAGGATAAGATGAGATAAAAAGAATACCTAATGTGTCGGGGAACTAATAATCCGGAAAGCTTATTTTGTCAGGGTCCTTCTTCGACAAGCCAGAACCAGATTTTCCCAGTTGTTTGGTCATAATACCCAAAATGACAATGGCGGTGACACCACAGAGCTCCTGTCAAAACAGTGTTTTCAAAGATTTCAGCCGTCACATACATCTTCAATCTGCGTAAGCTTCATCTGCAACTCAACAGGACTCTTAGTATCAAACCTGATCTATGACGTGGTGCACCAGAAAGTACAGCATTTAAACAAGGATACTTCCCCTGGTCAGGACTAATTCATTCTGCAATATTGAGATACGAGGCTTAATTGTTGGTTAGACTACTGAGTATGGTGTTCACACATTCTCTAAGTCAAGGAACGGTCCCAGAGAACTAGATTCTGGAGCACGCCACATTAATTTTCAAAAGAGGTTGACGCTGTGAACCTTCAAGCTGCCGGCCGGTGGCACCTCTCTCAACACCATCAAAGGTTATAGGGTCTCTGATATGTGACGATCTAGGTGATTACTAACTACCCACAAAATTCTTTCCACCCCAACAGAAGGGTTTCAGAAAGAGGGACTTTTGTACAACCAACCTGCTGTCCGCGTTAAACAGATAGATAACCATCCTTGATCGCAAGGCGAAGGCTGATGTCATATATCTTGACGTCCCAAAAGTCTTAAAGTGTGGTCAATCGTGTATCTCCCATTAATAATCCCAAAAATTTAGGTAACAAGTGGCTTAACAAACGATCTAAATGATCGTTTTATTACGATCAGGGTAGTCTTTAATTTCTTTCAGGCTACAGAATGCTTTATGAGGTCACTCCGGGTTTAGGACCAGGATTTCATCACTTGTTAATCTATATAAATGACCTTCCTCAGTAAGTTTCTTACGAGTTTTTATTTGATGCAGCCTATGTGAAACTTCGGAGCGAAGCCTGCAACCAAGTTGATAAGCTGATCTGATTCGACTTCAAGGGTGGGAGGAGAACTGTGACGACGGACCACCGGTGAACTCGAGGAAGCTGTAAGAGGCTCAGAAGGAGCCGACGACATCTCATCCAACCACCTTTCGGAAGAATGTTCTAGAATTCCAACGTGTAGCTTCCCGATTGGATAATGTTAATAATTCCCTGTATGCGGATTGGAAGACTGTAATGATGATTTTGTTCTCACTAAAAACTATAAATACCTGACAATTTTGTACTATGATTGACACTGTTTGGAATAATATTCCTTTCATTAGTCTTCTGTCTTCTTATTGCGACTTGGAAGGGTTTTGGTGTTCTAGTGCTCTGTTGTACGCGGTATATCGAGAAAAATCAGTTTTCAAGATATAACAAGAACGGACTTACTATGAACACTTCATATTGTAAAGTAGTCCATCTGAGACACTTTTAAGACCATGCGCATAACTTAGGTAACTTACCCCTAGAAGTACACCAAATTGAAAAACTATCTAAGATTTTTTCTACCCTATGATCTGAAGTCCTACCTCAACGGCGACCAAAAAATGCCTTCCGACCAAATATAGCACTGGTAAGATTAGTGCGAATTTTTGACCGGTTCGGATGTAGGACGTTTCACTTAATCTTCAATAGTTTTACTGAACCACACTTACAGAATGGAACTATAGTTTTCCCACTTGCTTTAAAACGAAAAGAGTACGCTGGGACGTATCCGGAAACAAGCCACGAAATCAGTTCGTGGACTCACATTCAAACATTATAAAGAACATTCCAGATCACTGAGTCTTTTCTTATTAGAGTGAAGATGTCACAGGTATTCAGAGTTTGACAACGCTTTAACCAGCAACACCTAATATGAAGCGTACTTACCAAGTGGAATCAAAAGACAGAAGAGAGGAGTTTCGAAGGTACTTTTGATACACTATCAATTTATCGAGAATCGTCCGATCTAATATGGCTAGCGATAGCCGGGGCTGTTGAACACGGCGTTCTTACTCGTTATCGGGTTCGGATGCATGACCGAACGCCTTCAGCTAGGTGAGTTCATTAGAACATGTGGTCAGCATCCAATGTCGAAAACTTACAGAGCTATTTATTTTGGAGATTTATTTACCACTACAAGAATATGGGCGTTCAGAGGTGACATTCTGATGACTTACAAAATCTTTAGCGTTCATGATATTCTTCTAAAATGTCTAATTAAGCCTAGTCACAACACATACCCTAGGTGTAACACCCAGAAATTATGGAAAATGCATCAGGAGGGATTGTAGGTATACTTCTTACGCTTGATAAGCAGCCGAATTCTAGAATTCTCTGCCGGCTAAAAAGTTTCGGGTGACTTTCCAGGAGTTCAGTATCTTCTCTGGTAGAAATATGTTACTTAAGACTTAACGTATTCTTTAGGAATAAAGATAGTATCTCATTATACCTTCCTATTATTTTTCTTTCTATCATTAAATATACCTAGGTTCCTAACTGAAGAAATTGTTGATCCGCTGCTAACAGATAGGAAAGCCTGTTAATTTAAAGCTTCTTTTATTCCATCCAGACCCATTTGACTTATTTTCAAAGTGAAACAATGTTTTGAGTGTAGCGTTACGTTATGGCTTGCTCTACGACTGCGGTACGAAGTACGTTGTAATCGTTGTCAGTTTTTAATTTTGTTTGTGGACTTTGGTCGTGCTATGCTTGCATCACAGGCTGCAGATCTGGTAAAAAGAATGTACATCTATTGCGACTTTCTATTTTCAGGATCTCAGAGAATTTCAGTGTCATAGGGAAATACTCATATACTTGGTATCTCTGATAAGTTAGTAAATGGACCTGCTACATGATTTCTTGTCATTTAAGTTTGCTCGTCTGGTTTAGGTGGAAAATCGTCTGTTCCTGTACAGTTTTGTCTCCAAATTAATTTGTGGAAACTTCGTCGGAACCGTCACTACTGACCCAATGACATCCTAATGTCCATATTTTGAGAAAATCATGTACCTTTTGAGGAAATTCTTGGTAAGCCGTAATAGAAATAATCTGAGACGATGGCACAAAACCTAAAATTTCCCCAGTTCTGGGGAAGACCGATAATCGTGCGGTAATGCATCCATATTCGTCGTTAAAATCCCATATTTTACTTTTACATTATGGGAAATTCCCACGGTTTCGGATTTTCGCCAATATATCCCTGGAAGTTTCGGAAATTTTGTGGAAGTCTATCTGCGTTTAGTTATCACACCCCAATAGTTTTTCGCATTTAGGGGATATTTTGCACGATTTTCGGTTCTCCCCAATACCTTATTGGGAAAAGCCCCTAGATTACCTATTGTCCAGGGAATTCTACCAAATTAATAACAAGTACCCACAAGTTGATACGCACCTACTCAATTTTCTTCTTCAGTTAACTTCGCAAATTAAACGCAGTTTCAAAGCAATTAAACCACGGCAACAAGAACTGGTCTGTCGCGGCAAATAAGCATTTCCATAGTTAAGACTTATGCGTCATAAGTGAAATTGTTTATTGAGGTTTTAAAAAATGTACAAATAAGTTGTACGACCATAACTAATGTCTTCGAATCCTGACACAATTGATATTGCGCCTCGGTTTGGTACATCGGGTTGATGTTAAACTGTTGTTCACAGTACTCTACAAAAATAACAGAAACGTTACTCTTCTGCATTACAAACGCAGTATCGAAACAGTTGAATTGCCAATAGTAGACAAAAGATTGCACTATATCATAGCAATCATCCAAAATATGAATCCATAATACCATGTGACAGGTTGATTACGTATTAGTGGTAGTAATAATGTTTCCTGAACTAAAAGCTTACAGCTAGGTCTGTGAGCACTTGCGAAGCCAGCTGAAAATAAAACAGACAGAAAATAGTTACTTCAGTATAAATGTGTGCCAGAAACTAATATACAATCAGAAACAGATATTCAATTACAGATTAAAAGAATATTTGGATCGCCATCCATGCTTATTGACTTTATCTCTTGCGTTGTGCAAGAAAACCTGGCTTGTGTTATTTGTTTCTCTGGACAGGTTGCACTTCAAAACCGTGAACATCTATAGATATATTATGACTGTGATGTGAACTTACTTTAAATTGTTCTTTAGAATATGTAATTTATATTTATTTTACTCTTAGTCCCACGTAAGGTATAAGTAATTACCAGTTCCGGTGTTAGTACGTAATACAGACACGCTTTGATTGACTTCTGAAGATCACACACGATTGCGGACAATCTGGTCACCTAAAGTTTCATAAACAGCTGTCACAACCTACGAACGGGTCACGGAACTTTTGTTCCTCCAAAGCAGCTTTAACAGTACTCATTTCCTCAGATGGTTCCAATGGAAATGCGCAACTTAAAGTGTCTAGGCTATTGCTGTAACTGTCCTTCACATCCATGTATGAGCTTTTGATGTAAGCAGTCAGTTTGTCCATCTTGCTAGACAGTTCATTGACTTCTTTCAGAATCACTTTCATTATTTTACTTTCATCATGTTTTCAATTACCCCAACTTATAGGTTACTAACTACCGTTAAAGTAGATGGAGGCAGTGGTAAGAACACCTCTGTTTTCGAGGAACTACTTTATAAGCATGTACTCAATAGATACTTAGCTATTGGGGAAAAGTTCCCAGTCAAAATGTTGGCAACTGGAAACCCAACTGCGACACATGCAGCTTCCATTTCAGCAACCTCTAGTTCTTCAGCGGTGCACAAGTAGTTTTTCATTTTGCGTTTGACAACTCTAACAATGAATGAATTGTGTAAACTCATCAATTCATCACTTTATTTTCTCTGTTCCTACATGGCAGCGTGTTATCCTCAGGTGCAATTGTGCTTTTGTAACCGAGTACTTCAGTCAATGATACTTTCAATCCCTTAGTTATCAGGTAATTATCTGAAAGCAATGATTTCAAAGTGATGACAACTCACCACAATGATGCAATACTGTGCATTTTCTCAAAGCTGTATGTGTCTCAGTTGAGTTTCCAGTTGCCAACATTTTGACTGGGAACTTTTCCCCATTAGCTAAGTATCTATTGAGTACATGCTCATTATTTATTTATTTATTTAAAAACATAAATATTATTACAAGAGGGCACCAAATATATATGCGCCACACAAAACAATGAGAATTTAAGGGGAAGGAAAAAAGAGAATAATAACGAAGAGATTGATGTAAGGTGGTGTGATAATAATAATGGTAAAAATGGGGGAACGGAAAGGTACAATCAGAAGAAATCTTTCAGTTAAGGAAAATACAACCACTTTTTATGAAGAAAGTAAAAGAAGGTTACAGCAGGATCGCCACTGGCTTCTATTCTGAGCCATATCTGATTACATCTCTAGCCACTGTGTTGCACCATCTCTCGGACCCCAGCCAGGGGGTCGTGAAGGACCAACAGAAGCGAGTCCTTTGCAGCTTTCTTTCATCCCACGACACCATGTCATATACTGACCACCTCCGCTTTTTCCAACCAGTCCCAGAGTCGGCAAATAATGCATGACGTGGAATTCTCTTGGAGGACATTCGTAGAACATGTCCAAGCCACCGAAGTCGATGTTTCAAGATGATGACACCAATTGGATTATCTTTTCGCCCGAACACACGATACCGAACCTCTGCATTACTAACATGGTGTTGCCACTGGATGTCGGCAGTCCTTCGGAGACAACGATGATCGAACACAGAGAGTCGTCTAACGTCATCAACTCGGAGAGGCCATGTTTCACAAGCATGGAGCAGAACTGCTTTCACCGACGCGTTGTAGATCCGACCTTTTACAGCCAGACTAACATCACGAAGGCGCCAAAGGTGGCCCAGATTGGCATAAGCCGCTCTGGATTTCACTATACGTGCATTGATCTCATCACTCACACCCCCACCAGCACTTATGCAGCTACCCAGATACACGAACATCTCAACTACTTCTATCTGCTCACTATCCAGGGTGAGTACAGGATCAGGGTTCTGCCAGTCTTGTAGAAGTACTTTGCACTTGGAAGGTGCAAAGCACATACCGTACCTACGGACACTGATTGCCAACTGATTAAGTGCGGACTTCATGGCTTGGGTATTGTCGCACATTAAGACAACATCATCCGCATACTCAAGGTCGAGAAGTCTTTCTCTAGGCAACAGATCCACATTACCATTACTTATATCAATCCTAGCTGTTTGCAGAATGTCATCGATATCAAAGTTGAAGAGGAATGGTGAGATTAGGCAACCCTGTTTAACAATTGAGAAAGGTGGTTGTATATAAGGCTTTTAAGCTGTTAATACACTTCTCAGGTACACCGTTCTTCAATAGACAATCCCAGAGAACAGTCCTGTCCAACGAATCGAAAGCAGCCCTGATGTCAAGAAACACTACGATTGTTGGCCTTTGATAAGTATGGCGATGTTCTAACATTTGGCGGAGGGTGAAGATATGATCAATACATCCTCGACCAGAACAAAACCCAGCCTGCTCCTCGCGAGTCAATCTTTCTCGGGTTTTGAACAACCTACGAAGTATGACGGAAACCAATAGCTTGAACGCAATCGGAAGTAGACTTATCCCCCGATAGTTGTTACAGGAACGACGTGAACCCTTTTTAAAGATAGGGACAACTATCGACTCATTCCATGACGTTGGTACACTCTCTGGTTCCCAAACCTTTGTAAACAACGTCGTCAATTCCTTAGTCAAAAAGTCACCACCATCTTTAAAAAGAGTCGGAGGTAAGTCATCTGGGCCCGGTGATTTGTAGCGCTTCAAGGGTTGGAGTTCCTTGCGGACTTCCTCCTCGTTTGGTGGATCAGTCGTCACCGGCCATGGAGGGCAGGACAGTCTGACCGATGTTGCCGGAGCAGCAGGCCAGTTGAGCTGCCCTTCGAAAAATTCTGCCCATCGTCCAAGACGTCGATGGATGTTAGTGATTGGCATCCAATCATCCTCGCAGATTGTTTCACTCACACCAAACTTCTTGCTGTCAGTGGCTCGGATGAGTTTGAAGAGCTTCCGGTAGTTACCAGATGCAGCTGCTGCTTCCAGCTCATTAGCACGCTCCGACCACCAGGCTTCTCGGTCCTTACGCAAGCTTTGCCCAATTTCCTTACGTAACATCCTTCGTTTATTGTCAAACTCACGGTCACCCGGAGTAGACCGACGGGTTTCAATGAGTTGTAAGGAACCTACAGAAACCCAGTGCCTTTAAGTGGGACGTTTCGCGAACCCACAACTGACTGTACCCGCCATTTTCATGGCGTCATGCGATTGCAACCAATGCTCATCCATACTTTTCGGTGGAATAATAACTAGCGTAGAAGCTCTCTGTTCGATACTTACTAGCAACAGAAGTTGCAACCAACTTGCTAAAATCAATCCATTGATGGCGGTCACTTCGTTTTCAACTGAAAAGTAAGGCAAGATTGGCGCAGACCAAGGCATGGTCAGAGTCCAGATAGGTACTCCAGAAGGAGCGGCAGTTTTGTACACAACCACGCCAGCGGAAGCTGATCGCGATGTGATCAATCTGAGCCCAGGCTTGGGATGCAGAGGGAGGACGCCAGGTGGCACATCGGCGATGACTGTGCCGAAAGTTAGTGCTAGCCAGAAATAGGTTGTGGTCTGTGCAAAGTTGCAGTAGACGGTCCCCGTTATCTGTCCTGCGACCAACGAGTCCCCATTGGCCACCTAAACGACTCTCTTCTGTGCCTAGACGCCCGACCTGAGCATTCAAGTCTCCGGCTAGTACTACAATATCTGTCGAACGCACTTTCTGGAGAAGAACAGATAATTGGTGGTAGAATTCATCCTTGATTGCATCCGGGTTTGAATGGTGCACGTGGTTTCAGAAAAACTGCTTCAGTACTCGCATTCGGTGGTAACATACATTTTCAACCGGACAGTGACTCGAGAATGTTTAGATAGAGCCGAATTTCCACCATAGGCGAGCTGCTGTATAAGTCGAAAAAAATAAGTATAAACAGAGTCTGAATAAAAGAGGGTGAGTAATGACGTAGTAAATAATAATAATAATAATAATAATAATAATAATAATAATAATTATTATTATTATTATTATTATTATTATTATTATTATTATTATAATGCGAGTCACTTGATTGTTATTTGGAGCGAGAGGAGTATTTTTCATAAGTAGACAGTTTATCATGTTTTTATGTGCTGGCTGAGGTACTGCTCGGGTGCCCAAACCGATGCAGGTGGTTTTCTTAGGGGGCCACACCCCGAGTCTTTGACTTAAAGGTCTAACCCACAAGGCAGTGGAGCATCGTGAGGAGATGCAGTCCCATGATATCCGGTAACCAAGGAATTGGTCCATACGTCATTTTTTTCGCAGGATACTGGAGCCCATGGCACCATTGATTTGGGATCCGGTTAAAGCGCCGGACATTCGCTTTTCTCCCTCTCATTTTCGTAAACAACACCCTCGCCACAAGAAGGCAGTGAGTAGGACTTCCCTGGCAGAGGCTGTATACGCGTGGCCATGTGAGAGTATTTCAAGGGGGAAAGCGAACCCACCCCATTCTTGGCCATACCAGAGCATTTGGGGGTAACCAGGGCTTACTCATAAAGTAGTTCCTCGAAAATAGGTGTTCTCACTACCACTTCCACCTACTTCGACGGTATTAAGGAGAATCGAAAATCGTGCAAAATATCTCCTAAATGCGAAGAAAGTACTGGGGTTTGATCTCTAAACGTAGATGGATTTCCCCAAAGTTGCCGAAACTTCTGGAGATATATTAGAGAAAACCCAAAACTTCGAAGATATTGCCCAAAATGTTTTGTTTCATGATTAGTAAACTATTATTTTGGTATAGATTTGTACATGCTTGAATGCTATGCCTTTTAAAAACACGTCGTTATTAACTTTTCATTGGTTCATAACTGTCTAAACGTTTCCTGTTTTTTTGTAAGACTACCAACAAACTATGTTGTTTTTAGATTTTAAATCAATTCTAAGAAAATTTAGGGCAGCAACGTTTCTTGAAATGCTCTGTATATCTATTATGGTGGTCTGCTTGCAAGTATGTATAAAGGAAACCACCATGATAAATCATTCAGCTACACTTCTGTAAAGTTGTGTGAAGATAAACTCTTGTAGGTGATATCCAAGTGCTGTTTGCTGTAAAATAAATGTGCAGTGCTTTCCGTGTGATATCTGGGTTTTGCTGTTGTTTCTGGGCATGAAATACCGCTGGATAAGTTCTGTAATTGGGCATAGAATTTCGAGAGGTCCATATGAACCTATTGTAGGTGTGAACTTCGAGTGTTGAAATTCGTGATATTTTAGATATTAGCTTCCTTGAATTTCGTTTTCATTTTTATCTATTTTCTACCATATTTTTTAAAATTGGCAGTATGGCAGGTAGTATGGGGTTTCACAATGTCATTTTTCTGATTGTGAGGTGTTTTTATATGAATGTTGTCACTGTATGAATGTGTTCATGTAGTTGCTTCAAACACGTTTATTTTGTGTCATTTCCAGACACAGACATATTTGCGTTCAACAATTATCCTACCTGATGATGAATGACTACGTCAATAATATAGAACCGGAGAACACAAAGTATTCGTTATTTCAGTTACATCCAAGTTCATGTACTGCTATGGAAACTGAAGTAGAGGTATTTTTGTGATAACTACGTTACCTTGTATCTTTTCATAGATAACAGCCATGTGTTCATTTTCAGACTTACTATTTATTGGAACAAGCAACGGGTATGTTGTTCAGTATGGCTGTTTTCTATCATGACTAAAGTTTAGTATCTCAATTGATTATTCAAGAGTTGTATGATAATAAAACATCATTTTGTTTCAGTAATGTTCTATCAAGGAGAATATTTGTAAATCTCTGATTTGTTTGTATGTTATAACCTAATCAGACTAAGCCTATTTCAAGGCTTGAAACTTCTTCCAAAAAAACTACACTTTCTATTTTCAGCGATGAAAATCTTACCTTATGTAACGCTGAAAAACTTGAGGTATGGAAATAGATTTTGTAAAACCTGTTTTATTGTTTCTAGATCATGAATTTTATTCCATCTTTCAAAGGCGTTTCATCATTCCATTTGTGCTCTTTCGATGATGAAAAAGAGAAGGTATTTTAATCATTTTCTAATTCGAATTAATGATGTGTATAATTATTACGCTAATTTAGCTGTGCATAGGATTTAAATCGGGTTTAATTCAACTACATCATATTTTTGTGTCGACATGTATGCTTGTTTTTGAGACCAGGTTAACAGAAGTTTCACAGTCTCTTGTAAATTCATACTATTTTTGCTTGATTTAGTGACTTTTGTTTTAGTGCATCTCACCACAATTTTTATGTGTTGCATCGGACAGTAGTTACATATCAATAAATTTACGTACAAACAGTACTACAGAGTTATTGCGTTCAGTAAAAGAACCAGTACGAAATTACATAGTCTATTTTACTCAGGTTTGTTAGAACACTAATATATTATAAAAATTCAATACTTGCAGAATGAATTTATTGTTTCTGGTCCAGGATCATTGGGTATTATTGTCGACGCTAATGGTGTATCTCATCGTGCACCACTTCAGTTATCACCAAATATAGTAGGAGTTTTTGTATGGAAAAATTATTTCTTCACTGTTACTGACGAATTTTTTACTATTCACAAGTATGTGTAACTTTTGAAAGTTTTTGTAATTCTTTATCGTGTTTCCATGTAATTTATTTATAAGTCTAAAGCATGTTTCTGACTATGACCTACTACAATGTTTTAAATCAAGTTTTACGTTTCGTATGAGTGTATTCATGCGGAGTCAATTCGATGACCTTAAAATAAATACATGTAAATAACAAAATATTCAATTATCGGAACCAGAAAAAGTGAGCGGAATAACTGTAAAGGCAAGGAACATCTATATGTATAAGCAAAATTGTTGGCTTAATTTTTGTAATTTAAGTGTACTCATGTGCCAGACTTGCCATTCCGTTCATCTCCTTGTTAAGTAGAACCGCTGGGATTTCTGTAGGTGACAAAATTGTACCAACATATTAGACTGCTAATTGATGTACAAGTTTATATATTCTATATTCATGTTATTACATGTTCTGAATAAGCCTACTATACAAGTCATTCCGTTGTTTCACTAATCTGCATAAACCGACAAACCATTTTTCATTTTACTTCTAAGTTGGTTAAAAATGTATGCTAAGAGTTGTAATTATATTAATTAATAATCCTTTGAAGTCAGTTTAGTTTTGGTCCTATGATATCATTGCAACCAAGTGAGACATTATTTTACTACTTGGAGCAATCCTATTTCTTATCGATTTCTGTTGTCCAGTATAATACATTCTTTATCAGCATCTCAGTTTTCTGAATCATATCAGATTCCAGCGGTAAAATAAGAAAAGCTGAATAGTGGATGCTAGTTCAAAAAATCATCGTACATACCGTTGAGATAGTTGAACATATTGAATAACTTTGTTTTTTATTATATAGTTATAATCAGTAACTTTTAGAAAATCTCTTTGAAATAAGTCACTTATGCTCTCAGAAGCGTTGTTTGAAATTTGAAGTTCCATGCAATTAAGGAAAAAGCCATATAAACCATACAGAATAAATAGAATTATAAGATTAACGCTTTCGCGCTCATAAGATTTAGTTTTTGAACATGAGAATCATAAAAACCGGCTTTGGTCTTTTAGTGAAATTATAAACTGCTGGTGTAAAAATTTATGTAAAACTAGCTTGAATGTATCACTTTTCAATGTTTAATAGAGTGATGGGATGGTGGTTGACAATTGAGTTTCAAACCTAAATCTCCATCTAATCCTGTTTGGTAAACAAAAAAATATCATTCGTTCTAAAACGAGAAACATACATTTTAACTCTTCCTATCGAGGTAGGGATTTACTATGTCCTAAAAACATACCAAATATGACCGTTTTGAAGAGATTTGTCCGATGATACAATAATTATATCCCATAAATCTGCTATACAGACACTAGAGGAACTCATCCATGATTGCTTACTTGATCTTACAGGATTAGAACGATATATAAACTCATATGGGAGAAACATCGTCAGATTCCATTTGTAGTTGGGTGAAATATAACCAGACAAGTTTGCTGTAAAAAAAAGACATTTTTTATTGTTTTTATGCAGATAAGGACTGTACGCCCAAAACTATTTTGTTAAATATCTGACGAAAAATAATTTGCAGTAGTGACTCTTAGTGGTTAAGACATTCAACTTACAACCATCAATTCACAATTTTGTACATCGCTTCATCTACTTCAGTTTTGAGAACTACGTATTATCTGTAACCCTCACTTTTTGTGTGGATCATATCTAAGTACCTTGTGAAGGAGTTAAATTATTATTGATTATCTTCTTTCTAAGAAATCTTCAGTGAACTGAAAATATCTTATGTTTATATAATTATAAAATCACTTCATTGTCTGAATGCCTTCTGCTATGTTTGAAGCGATTACGAGTTCGCCTAGTATGCGAACGGAACAAAGACTATGTGACCAAAGACCAATAAGCTAGCTATTCTGATGCGTCCCAGCCCCACTAACTAGAGATAGAAGTTCAAGTTCGAAACGGGGAAATATATTCCGCAAGCAGCCAGAAGCACGAGCGATAACAAACGGGCACAAATCAAACGTATATATACAGCATAAAACTGTCCTTGGGAAGCGTTGCAAAATATCATACTAAAAAATACAACGAACCAATAGCGTTTAAGATTCTCCCAAATGGGAAATACATGAAGGTGAAAAGAGCGCTTTTGGCGCGAAAACAAGGGAATTCAAATTTTCGAAATAAAATTACACTAAAGTTAGAGATGCTATATCATTCTGACAGGTAGTATTTATTGATAAATTAACTTCTTCATGGATGGTCGTCTGTTGATCTACAATGAATTACTGGTATTTCTGTTAAATATTATAGATTCTTTCTATACATCTTTCTAGTCTTCCAATGACTCTACGAAATGTCACTACAATTAAGAATATCGTCAATAGAAAATAAAATTATTTAAAATTTGACTGAAGAATGTCTAGAATTTTAATTAATTTCATTTAAATGATATCAGATTGTAGTCCTGTCCATCTTACGCCAGCAATTGCTGGTGAAAATATAAATGAGACTATACTATCAATTATCATAATATTAACAACCTCCTCATCCTAATCTCACATTTCTAAAACTAACATACCTACTACTCTCCTTTTATTTTAGCATCTTGACACAATCCCAGATACAAACAATAAATCTTCAAAAGCCATCTGTAGCTTGTTTTTCTGCTGATGCTCATTTGTTATACTTTACTGGAACATCTGACTGTAATACTGACACTACATCCATCAGAAATATTCAAGTCTTAGGACCAGAACGTTGGGATTTGATTGCACGGAGGTTCATCTTAACTGGTTGTCTTAAACAAGCTTTCCTTGTACAACAACAAGAACGAAATCGTCTTACTCAAGTCATGCAGTTGCAAGTTGAGAAATTCAAGCATGAACAACAGTTGTTCGATAAGGTAAATTTACAGTTAGACTCAGTTTTTTTGTAGGCTGTCATTTATAAATATGTTAGATAATTCACAATTTTTCTTTTTGATAGTTTTATTATGGTTTCTGAATTTTAAATCTTTTAAACTATGTTTATTATTATTATTAACGTAGTAACTAAAGCAACTGTCCTTCACAATATATAAATTTATTCAGTTCACGGTTATGCTTTCGGACCGGTTTTCATCGATGCCTATTTTAACCGTATGGTTGAAAGTGGCAGGTGTTAGACCACATCTTCGGTTGACGTTTGCATGACACCTGTTGAACTTTTGTCTGCTATTCGGAAAACTTGATCGTCAATCTCTAAACAATGTCATTGATTAAATATCTCAACAACTTTCTATGTGAATTATTACCGTTTTAGATAGATGACTACTGGTATCAGATCATTGGTGTCTTGAAACTGTTATTCGTGGATAAAATAATGGTAAGTGATTAGTGGTAACGTTAAGGGAAGAACTTTCAATGATATGTGTAAGCCACCTCGTGTAGCCACTGATATGAACTCAAATATCGTAGATATGCGTGTATCCCATGTCACGATGCATAAACCACCATAATAAACATTGATTGATTACAACTGGGGGACAAAACCCAAATATCTTATAAGTTAATTGACTTATTTTCCACCACACATCTGTTAAGTAGTAGTCAGATTATAATCCAGCTAAAGTCTTAACTTAAAGGTTACTTTCCAAATCCTTTGTAGGATTAATGAGAATGTTGAAACTAATATAAATCTTAAATAAGAACTTTCGTCTAAATTTTAACGAAAAGTTTCACAATATTTAGGCGCCGAGTTAATGTGAGTCATTAAAGAGGAATAATATATATTTGTAAAATCTCAGCGAAAGAATTTGAAGTAAATTCAACGTTTCGCCTGGCAATCTGGTCCAAGCTTTTTCAAGGGAAATATAATCAAACTTCAAAATTATCGAATATAAATAGGTACATGGTACTTCGGTTCACTGTATACTGAATAAGTCATCCAATCAACGTGAAAGATTTTATAAATAGGTATTTGCATTAATGTGTAAGAGACATGTTTATATGAAAATAATGAAGGCCAACCAAATAAAAGTTCAACATAGTGAAAATTCCCATTTTGCCATTTGGTAAATAAAGAAGGAACGAATTGAGCGAAGAAATTTCTTTTCAATTAGTTTTTCATCATGGCTCTACACTAATATATATACGTTTTACAATAATAATATAATACTCATCTAGTAGATATGTTACGTAATAATTACATAATGACATTTAAATTAACATTGATTAATTGGAAGGAAGAGGATTATCAATATTCAAAGTGATCAACAAGTTGCTACGTTGCGTAATGTAAGAAACAAAGAAGGAACAGAATTTTAACGGATGGTCAATAGGATGGTAGTTATGTACGAATCAAGAGATGAATGTTGAGAAGTTATTAAGTTCAAAAGCAACAGAAACAAAATTACAAAAGTTAAAAAAAAACAAGTGGAAGAAGTATGAAAAATAGTTCTTTTGAAGGAAATCTTAAACTGATGGCCAGGGCAGAAAAAGTGGTTGCACGAATCTCTTTTGAATGCAAAGGTCAGGTTTGTGAACATGGATTGCGATGGCTTCCGCAATGTGCAAGAGGCGCACTCGTAAATCATGTGGCGAATTTGATGGGATATTGTAGATAACATTAAAAGCTCTATTCAATTCAACTTGATGAACTGTGTCAACCAAGTGAGAGAGAATAGAACTTTTAATCACTTTTACCTGTCCTTTATTTAACCACGACGGATGATGTTCTGTAATGCGATGACGGACTTGCCGGAATTGTACGCCCTATATAACTGGCTCCACAGGAGCAGTTGAAATGATAGATACACATAGATTTGGCGAATTCAGGCAGTCTGTCTTTGTTGGCTGTTCTTATTTTGGGATAGTTGTAGAAGATGGTATTTAATCTGGCAGCATTAAATGTTTTTTTGTACGGCTCTTCTTAGTTTCTGAGACAAGATTTCTTCAGTGCTGTCATTTATGAATTGTAGTTTTATGAATAGTACCTTCTCATGGACGGTGGGTATCTTTGTCCTTGTTTTCTTCTCCATCATATGTTTATGTATATATATTAGTGTAGAGCCATGATAAAAAACTAATGGAAAAGAAATTTCTTCGCTCATTTCTTTCTTTCTTTAAATAAAAGTTCAATTAAAAATAATCAAGGGTAGAGAAAGAATAAGAAATTGTCGTGTTATCCTAGGCCATAGAATGACTTAAGGATTACAAGGTAAATTCAAGGTTAAGACAACTTGTTATTGTACACATAAGGACAGGGCAAGTGATATGAAACGAAAAAGTGTTAAGATAACAGAGTGTGTGTATACGTAAGTGATGTGAGAAGAAATTTCAATCAACTAAATATTGACTTTAGTCTGTGTATATGAAATGAATCAAAAATGCCACAGCCTGCATTAAACGAAGATAAATAAATAAGATAAGTAAACAAAATAAAATAAAAGACTGAATTCAAAGCGGAATGTATATGTAATTGAACTTTTGTGTTATTTTAATGTTCCAGTCAATTGTTTAACATATTTAGATAAGATAACTGATTTGAATCCTTGAACGCATTAACTATCCATTTGTTACTATGATATAGATATACCAAATTGGAATAAGAAGATCAGGTTTATTTATTAATTATTAGTTGCCATGGGACAGCTAGTTGTATTCCATCTCTCCTATAATCTTTCTAGATACTTGGCCAAAATTCTTAAACCATATGAAAGTGTAATAAAATATGGAATAAAAAATTCTAATGATTTCAAAAACATTGTCAGTAATATTTGGATAGAAGAGGATGAAATAGTGGCAAGTTATGGTGAGCATTGGGATACACCTGCATGATGGCAGCAGCTATTGCAGGTGAATCATCTGTCACAATGCCTACCACCTGTCGACTGTTGGTTGACCGTTGGAAGAACGACAGGAATCGAGAAATCAAAGTCGATGTTTCGCGACTTATAAATGCAATACAAACTAGTATCGCCTTCAAATTCATATCAAGGGCTACGACCTGATATAAATAGATATTCTCGTTATTCGTCTTGTATGTTCCGTCCAAACCAATAACATCACCGAAACGGTCTGCAAAAATCTTTTGATCACCAGTGCTGAAGAAAAAGTACGATAGACAGTTCTCATCGTCTAATTCGTATTCGCATAGCCCACCCAAAGATGTTATGTGCGCTTTCAATTTTCCGTAATCACCTATCGTTTACATTATAAATTGGCAAATGGCTTACCAGGAATGTTCGCATGTGAGAACACTTTGTACCTCATATTATAGATATCTTGATCATTCAGTAGTTTCCCATAAGAATGGTAAGCGTAATTCTTAATGTGGAATGAAGCAGTACCAGATATTAGCAGCGGTCGCACATTTTCAAACTGAGCCTCTGTTAACCTGCGCACCCATGAATTACCTTGGTACCTCAGGAAATTGCACTCGTGATTGTGATGCACATTCCCAAGTACAACAGTCCAGTAGCCGTCGATAATCTTACAATACATGAAGGTCGGACATTGAGTGTTCATGGAAGCCCTTCATGACAAAAAATGTTAATAACATTTATAAAATTACCTCCTCCGTCTGATCCGCTGTGACGAACCGCTAGATGTTATACGGCCATGTCTCCAACACACAAATTTAATGTACGAGTTTTCATTTCTGCACAAATGCGAATCTCGAACTACATAATGACAGTAAGTTGATCTTTCATAATTTGTGATAGCGGACTTCAACGCTTCAACCAATGGGAACGCAACGAGAAACAACGTTGTCAAAAAGACTTCCTCTATTTCTGTTACGTGAGAAACAACAGCGCTTGTACTAGGCACGTTACTGTCCTCCATAATGATGATTAAAATGTACTTCGTCGACAAGTACTGATGTTTTATACCAATCCGACAAAACATAACTAACAAATTAAAAACGAACTTCAAAACTAGCCATTTCATTGGACGAAACAGGATGAAAAATATTGCAATTTTGGGTTGAAAAAACATTTTTAAAAAGGGTGGGTGGGGGTTTTTAAAAAAAATTGCCGTGGGGCTAATGAATTTCTTGAATTTACTTCAAATTCTTTCGCTGAGATTTTACAAATATATATTATTCCTCTTTAATGACTAATATAAATCTTAGAAAAATATCCGGGAAATATTATGCAAGGGCATTTGTATTATAATACGGTCACAACTGTGATATGGCTTCAGTATGATTTCGAATAGTTGGCAGCTGATATCATTTCATATGTAGCTGGATAATTTGTTTTTATACTGTGTTATTTCTACTACTTATTTTGTCTATTTATTCCTACTTGGCTTTTATTCCAACTATTCACTAATTGTAGTGATTCTTGTCAATCTCTAATTATGCTTATTCCCTGTTTTATTTTATTCTGATAGTTTATACATCTGTTTATTCCTTTTTCTAATGATTGTTCATGAATATCAGATAAATTGTTACATCACATCAACAAGGTAAATCACCAAACTATACAATTATACGTGCATTTAACTAAATTAGGAATTATTTAAACGTCGGGTTTAACAAAGATTTAGGAAAGTGTGTATCCAATCGTCTTTTTTTGTTTTTATTCATGGGTTTAAACCATAGTATTGCTGACTGACCAAGTGCAAATTCGTTTACTTGGCTTTAACCTACACTGTGTGTTGGTTAGTAATACTAATCATCTAGACAAACCGAAATTGGTGGAGTGGAATTCAAACCTACAACCCACATGTTTAAAACACAGTAATTTAGCTATTTTATTTCACACAGTGAAGTGTTTAGTTTCAGTGAAACATATTGACGCATCAATTTTCAAAGCTGCTTGAATATATTAATCATTATGTGCTGTTTTATTTCTGAAAATATTTTGTTATTGCCTTTTGTTTCAAGTAGTCACTGTAATGCCTACAAATTTCAAACAATCATTGTTATATCATCCTTTGATGTGGTGCTTATTGCTACAACTGTATTTGCTGTTCTTCCTTTTTTCCTCTGTATAGATTCGATAGTTTCTGTGTGACTTTTCAGAACACTTGAGTAGATTTATTCTAGTTGTTGGACAAATATTAATTAATTAGACAGTATGTAACTATTAAGTCACTTTTACACTCCTTATAAATCTATATTTCTCATAGATAATTGCCGCTTACTATGCACGTACCGCTGTCATCTGTATTCGTGTTAATTATATTCACGTATGCTATTGTGAACACTTTGTTTGTTGTTCATCTACTAGCTTACATAACTCTTTGTCTGTTTAAACTATATATGGTGAGTCACAAAATTGAGTCGACTTGTTACTAACCCCAATGTTTTATCCAATCAGTTTACAGTCATAGTTTTTCTCCAGCATAGAGTCTGTCAAACAAATGATCCCAACTGACATCTTGTGTTTTGACTTTTGGTGTACTGTTGGATTTACGTGTTAAGTCGTAAGAATATATTCGGAGATTAACTTATAATTCATCAATCACTACAGGGCTATAGTTTCAGTAAGTCGTGGAACTTTTTTCAAATATTCTAAAGTTAACTACGGTTATTGAAATATTTATGTTTTTTGGGCCGATTACTTTTAGTGTTGTGATAATTAATAGCAATACGATTTCCTATATTTTGCTTTTCCAGAGACGTCAACGGGTACTTGGACTTTTAGGATTTTATCATTTTGAAAAGGGTGAACTAGATAAAGCAGCTTCCTACTTTGAGCAGAGCACTATAGACATACGTGAAGTGAGTTACTTCCCTTTATATAATCCCTTTATTGTTATTATATTTGAAGTGGTTCTTATTTTGTTATATTGATAATTAGCCTATTAAGCTGTGATCTGTGAAGTTAATCATGTCAGGAATGAGAGTTATTGTCACTCCATAATTAGATAGACTGAAGCTGTGACTAACTATATACTACCACTAGATTGCAACTCAGTGGTATAAATGTCGCAAACTCAAGTGAATCAACTCTTTCATTTCTGTTGGTTTCTTAATGCTTTTTAAGCTAAAACCAGTCCGTATTAAAAACTCTTCAAATAAATGATGCAGTAATTTAGAATCAAGCTTACTACGTTTTATTACAAATTTAATATTTAGTCTATTATAGTAAACTGTAATGGGATATATTCTTTTTTGAGCGGTGGGTCAGTGGTGAAGACACTTGAGTTTTAACTAACAAATGAAAGCATGGAAGCCTTCTCAATCTACTTCGATTTAAACAAACGAGTAGTATCACTAGCACCCCCAAATACAATATAGCTCAAAGCTGAGTGAATTATTATTGGTTAGACGGTAAATATCATTACATTGTTTCTTATTTGATTAGAGAATTTATCCATTAATTCAGCATCAAACAAACATAAACTAGTGGAATCCCTACCTTCATCATATTATTTAGCACTAGAAGCAAGAACTTGTTTTGAGTTTAATCGGCAGCTGTGATAACTACAGGGGCATCACTCTTCTCTCAATACCGGGAGAAGTCTTCAACAGGGTATTGTTAAACAGGATGAAGGACTGCGTAGACGCCCAACTTCGAGACCAACAGGCAGGATTCCGTAAGGATAGATCGTGTACAGTCCAAATCGCAACTCTACGGATCATTGTGGAACAATCAATTGAATGGAATTCCTCACTCTACATCAACTTCATTGACTACGAAAAAGCATTTGACAGCATGGACAGAACAACACTATGGAAGCTTCTTCGACACTACGGCGTGCCTCAGAAGATAGTCAATATCATACAGAATTCATATGATGGATTAAACTGCAAAATCGTGCATGGAGGACAGTTAACAAAGTCGTTCGAAGTGAAGACCGGTGTCAGGCAAGGTTGCTTACTCTTACCTCTTCTCTTTCTTCTGGTGATCGACTGGATCATGAAGACGTCAACATCTGAAGGGAAACATGGGATACAATGGACATCTAGCATGTAATTGGACGATCTAGACTTCGCAGATGATCTGGCCCTTCTATCGCACACGGAACAACAAATTCAGGAGAAGAAGACCAGTGTAGCAGCAGTCTCAGCAGCAGTAGGTCTCAATATACACAAAGGGAAAAGCAAGATTCTCCGATACAACACAGTATGCACCAATCCAATCACAATTGACGGAGAAGATTTGGAAGATGTAAAAACCTTTACATATTTGGGCAGCATCATTGGTGAACATGGGGGATCTGATGCAGATGTGAAGGCGCGGATCGGAAAACTGTATGGGGTGGAAACCTGGAGAACTACGAAAGCCATCATCCAGAAGATACAGGTGTTTGTTAACAGTTGTTTACGCAAAATACTTTGAATCTGTTGGCCGGACACTATTAGCCGCAACCTTACTGTGGGAGAGAACAAACCAGATCCCAGCGGAGGAAGAAGCGCTGAAAGTGCGTAGGACATACATTGAAGAAAGCACCCAACTGCGTCACAAGACAAGCCCTCACATGGAATCCTCGAGGCCAAAGGAAGAGAGGAAGTTCAAAGAACAAATTACGCCGGGAAATGAAGATAAACATGAGAAAAGTGAACAAGAATTGGATGGAACTAGAAAAGAAGGCCCAGGACAGATTGGGTTGGTGAATGCTGGTCGGTGACCTATGCTCCATTAGAAGTAACAGGCATAAGTAAGTCTAATGTCACAGCCGGCATATCCACCTTTGTATTCGGTTGTTGAATTCCACTAATTTATAGTATTATTATTACAATTCAGATATCATCTTACTGCACTTTTTTGCAATTGAGTAGATTATTTCAGTTTATCAGTACATATCACTTACGATGTTTTACCGATATTTTGTTGAATTATGACATCAATCAAGACTTATAAACATAGGTTTATGAATGGTTGTACATAAGGATGTGAAAATTTAAAAAAACGTTTGTTTATTCCTTCTTTTCTGTAATCAGATTCTGTTTCGGTATTCTGATCTCTTGCCGAAAGGTTGTTATTTTATGCCAAATTGGTTTTACAAACTACATCAGACCAGTTCCGAAGCTAATCATGATAATGACGATAATGCTCAAACGTCTGGAATTAATTTGACTAGTGATTTGTGCATTTTAAGAGCTGCAGAAGATTCAGATAATGATGATCATGATCTAACAATTAGTTCATCATGGTTATTAAAATATGAAGAATTCCTTTTCAACTTTTTGCGTAAACACCATAAAAGTAAATTTGTTGAGAAGCATTTACATGTGAGTATGGTTGAATATATCATTACTGTCATTTCCTCGCTTGTTAAATACATTTTCACATAATTAATTATAAATACTATTGAATTGTGAACCATTAAGTTCACAAATATGTATTGAATTGCAAACCGATTAGTTTGGCTTCTTCAGTCGATGACTTTAGTCATCACCCAGTAAGTTTAGTCTACAAATCTTAGTCTAACCGGTGTTCAGGATGGTTGGAAGAAAGTTAGGAGTAGCCAGACCAAAACGTGGCATCAGTGCTTGAAGTCACTAACTTCTAATCTGAGCCATGTCGGTAGATGCAGACTACTTGGTTGGGGTCCGCGTGACTATCGTAACCAATGGTTGGAGACTCTAGATGACATGGCTCAGAGTCGATCACAATGGCGTCGGTGTATACACTCTCTGCCTTCCCTTAAACTAAGAGATTAAAATCGCTTCCCATCTTTTTTTCTACGAACTAATTCTTTCTTCCTGTACTATATCCTTATACACAATCTTTTATATATTACCACCTCTGAATTAACTATTTTATGAATCCGGTGTCCATCTTGTTGTGTTAATGAGGTATGGCAACTTGGACCGATGCATATATGTGCCTGGTCCTACGTTGCAGCTGACTGACTGATAAATCGTAGTGCAATCGTGGAAGAATGTGGAATTGGTTATTAACTGGTCATTCCACCTCTAATCATTTATAATTTTCATAAGTTTAAGGAAATTAACTACTGGGAAAAGTTGCATAAATTTAAAGTACATTATACAAGGGAATTTTCAAAAACTGATCAGTCTACTTTTTTTATTCACACTACATCTATAAATTGGTGTGAACTGCTAACAGAAACCGTTACCCAATTTAGGTGTTGTGTTCTCTGAGCTGGATGATTTAATGGTGAAACTTTGATTTCTGTTTACCAAATACATTTTCTCTGCAGTATTCGTCTTGGAGTAACCAATATTTCTTATAGAGTAGTTGTGCAACATGTTGTAGTACATTGACATGTGTGCGATTATTGATCATAGAAGATATTTACCGGTTAACCGAACGTTTAAAATTTTTAACTGTTATCTTTATCATGTTCTGAGTTACCTTATTTGAAGCTTTACAGTAAGTTCGTTTTACTCTTTCAGTTTGTAGAAACTGCTTTAGTTAAACTGTATGTTCGATTACAACAGGCTGGTATTCAACCATATCCCTATGAATTAATCATTGATACGTCTTCCAGTGATTTTCAGTCAGGTGAAGGTGGTCTCACTAAGTCAACTAACAATAATAATCAAGGTTTAGTTGATCTGATTTCAAGCTTCATACACATTGACGTGGAAGATTTAACTGTCTACTTAGAAAATAATAATGCTTACCATGCTTTGGCGCTTATTTATCGTTGGCAAGGTAACCTTTCAGGTGCATTGGAAATATGGCGAAAGTAAGTAGGGGTAGTATTAGCATCTCATTTATTTTCTTGATTAACCTGTATATTTACCTGTATATGTCTACCAGTTAGATCTTTCTATACATATGATGCTGTGATTTACAGCGTTCCAGCTTCCCACATAACAAAATTAATTAGGTGTTATTAAAAATTGGCTTTCGTTTTACCGCAGATCTTTTTTTTGTTTATTTACTGTCTTTGCAGATAATATCGTAATACTGTGAATTGGTATACAGGTTGCCTAAATCATACTTTATCAGTAGACAGTCAGCGTTTATATATATGAGAAGTATATATTTATATATAATAATAGCTCATAAATTAGCCGTAAAAGTTACCATTTCTTAAGTCCTTCGGATATAACAACTAAAATACAACTGCAAGAATTTATAAAGTTTCTGAATAAACAACTGATTTAACTGTAGCGACTATTGAATTTTTGTCTGTTTTGTTTATCATAACATTTTGTTTTTCTTATTCATGTTGATTGTCTCTTAGTTCTACTTAAAAGTGTAATGAATTTACTCGTAGTACATTTAAAGAAATTTCTATATTTTTTTATAGCTTTTTTTATCTTTCGAATACATACATTAATATGAATCAGTAAAATATATTTTAAAATATGTTGGCTAAATTCCTCGATTTATGTAATTTATTTTTAGACTAGTTTACAATGAACTAAATGATTCAAGTTTTCCAGGAGTAGAATTTTATATTTCTATACTATTGGAGTAAGTTTAAAAAGTTTCTATTTCTTGTTTTATTCATTAATTGCATTATACTGTATTTTACGTATTTTAATGAACTATATAAATGTAATCACTCATACTTTGAAACATTTTATTATACGTTGGATAATGACATGAGATATCAGGAGCTAGTCGAATGTAAAATGTTGTTTGTTCTTGATATGAATTCAGTCAAACTCATCCATTAAATGGATGTTTACCGGTTGTAAAGAAAGTAAATCGACTAAAATATTTGAAATCTAACAAAGGTCTTTGTAGATTCATGGTTTTTATAGTAGCACTACGATTCAGAATTCATGGTGTATTTTATACACCGTCTATTTTGTTTGCTTCTATATGAATAAAGGTTAATAATGATGCTTTTACCTACTTAATCATGTTTTACATTTTAGCCTATCCGCGCATAATTCAACTGAATCTCAGAAACAATCACTTTATAAGGGAGCGGCTATTCATTCGTCAAATGATGTAAATTATGAGTTCTCTGTTTATGCTGAATTAGTTTGGAATCATTTTATGCAAGCTTTAACAACTAATCATGAGATTATAGCTGAACAGCTCATGCTACGTTTTCCTATTCCCTCAAGTTATGTTAATTCATCATGTGACTTGTCTATTATTGAAGACAGTACAACCGAAACGTCCTTGGAAAGTAGCCTTGCACCATCCCAAATTCTATCACCTAATCATATTATTCAAAGTCTTATTTCTTCATATCCAAATATGACAATGACTTATTTGAAACATTTATGTTCTTCTCTGCCCAATTGTGTAAGTCCCCTGGTCTCTTGTAAATGACTGATCATGAAAATATTTCTGAGAAAAATCTCAGAATACACAATCGATGTACTGCGCTTTATTTTTATAGGGTTTAATGCATTTAGCATGTCTTATGTTGATTGTAATTTATGAAGTTTAAAACTTTCTGTAAAGTTGCACTGATAGTTGTGGTGATGTTTTGAATGGAAATAGTAGTATGAAAAGTCTAACTATGTGTGGGTTTGTGTGCAGTGTGAATGTCTGATATTAAACAGGAAGTTGACAGCGAAAGTGTTGGAAACAAGCGAGAGAGTTTTTAGTATAGATGAATGTATATAGTGTTGAATCCTTGGTTTGGATGGTTCAAATGCGATAGGATCTATAGTACTTAACTTCTATTTAATTAAGAATTATAGAATCATCCTTTAAATGTGCAGTTATTGTCCCATTGAGTGGTCTGTATAGATTTATTTAGTGTGAAGGTTGTTTTTTCTCAGTTTCGGAATCTTTGAAATCCGAGGCTCATTGGATTTCTCTTTTATTTAGTTTTGGAATGTCTCTTCTACTCTACCAAGCGTCTTATTCGAGACCTCCAGGTCTTTCAGTGAGCTCATTACCTTTGAGTTTTGATTCATAGATTTTATGATTGAAACTTGTGAAACCAGTTAGTTTCAATCTGTGGTAAAAATAATTTTCACATTAGAAGGAACTGCGTTTATTCGTATTGCAATCTGCATATCCTCATAAGAAACGTAAGATTTCAGTTGTATTGATGCTAATATACAATCGAGACATTGTTGTTTTCAGAGTCTTATATTTTCTCATGTCAAATATATTAATCGAATACCATACTACTATGAGTACGTCACAAACTTTGTAATTTAATGATTTAGTACTCCTCTGTACTATGAAACTCATAAATACTACTTATTTTGTTGTTATCTTCACTTCAAATACAAACCCACTTCCATTTTTATGATGATCTTTATTTATTTTGTATTTTAGCATCCAGAAAATCATAATCTGTTAGGCAAACTTTATTTAAATACCCTATTAATGAAATTAAGGAGTACTGACAATTTATCTGATGATAAAATGAGAAAACAAATTCGTAAATTGAGGTAATCCTTTTATTTCTTTGAGTTTATTTACTCGCAAATCTTGTTAAATATTTCATAAAGCTTATTAGTATGGTACTTCAACAATGGTATCAGATAATTGCATTGATATAAACTGATTGACTGTCAACGGGAATCGTATGATTGATTGTTAATTTTACTGCCTCCTGCCAACAAGCTGTTGTAAATTGACTTACCAAAACGTATTCTTAAATGAATAAAACCAGTGGTAGTAATATTGATATTTTGAAGCCACATTCTTTTTACGCGTAGACAGTCTTTATACTATCGCTTATTTTTCTAATTATATTATTCTTATCGTCAGGTTCGTTTGAAATAATATAAGTTATCTGTTGTTCTGTTAACTGGCGAATGGAAGTTGTGTGTAAGGCGAAAATTGAATGAAATGGATAATGATGCAAATCGGTAATCAAGTTGAAGTTTATGTATGTCTGTGTGCATTAGTTATTGATACTACTGAGTTGAAAGGAAAACGATTAAGCAACTTACTGGCACTCCATTATATCAAAAGCAGTCAGTGGATCATTATTCTAGTGATTAATGAATTTTTGAAAATAATAGTAATTACTAACTATTTAAGCCATGTATCGAATTGATTCACCTTTGAAAATAAGTTCGTACTTTTGAGAAGTTCCTGGTAGTCTTCACTCGGTATCTCAATAAGAAAGACTCACGTTTGAAGTAGGGTTTACCATGTTCATGTCTCAATGAAGAAGTTCGCTTACTGAAATGTGAGTATACTATAATTTTTTACAGCTTAAGCTGAAATTGGGATACTGTATGGGGGGGGGGGGTTGTGAAGATTGTTGGGTTTTATGGTTAATATCACGAACCAGCCTTAATTAAATAACCATTTAAAGTTAGGAAGCACTGGACTGATATTTCGTTCTTATTTGAAGCTCCCGATAATTAATCATTCATAACTCCATTAGAGATTGAGTCTAGGACCTTCAGGTCCCGCGGCGAGTACTGAATCTTCAGACCACTGAGCAAGTATCTAATGGTTTACATGTTTAACTTGAATCAATTCTCATAATTACACAGCCATCCTCCAATTTTATTGATGGGTAACTGCCTCACACTCTTCATGGTTGAGGTCCACTGGTCACGACTGATTACTGAAACTCCGGGAATTACCTCAGAGTTAGTCACTGATCAACACATGGTTATTACCACTGAAGTTGAGTAGGTGAATTTAGCATAAATTCAGTCAGCTTTAAGAATCACTGTACTTATTTGAGATTGGATGATCATTGTCATAGACATTGGTTGTATTTAATTAATAACCTGTTTATAACAAGTAAAATACTTGGCATAGGAAGGCTTTCAGACATATCTTACATCACACGACATTGTGAAGGATCGATATCTTGAAAATTATTTCGGAAAAACTAATAAAATTCAGTATTTACGGATAGAATCCAAGTAAAAGCACAATTAAGATCATAAATTGGCCATAAGCTATATGGAAGCTATGTAACCAACATCCCCTTCAATATGTTTTAAAATGACAATGCTCATAGATTTATTATTTTCATCATATCCAGTCACACATTTCTGAATTTCTGCACTTCTCATATCCTGTTGCCCGAGAATGCAACAAAAATAATACGGATCTTTTTACAATATTAAATTTTACATGTTTGAATTAAATCTGTCTCACTGTCACTTTTCTACTACTATTGGGACTGTTACTACTTTTACTATCCAGGGATTTGTTTCGATAATTTTATCTCACTGTGATTCCGTGATATGACAACCTGCGTCGATGAATATGTGTTCCAGGTTCTATAATACATATGACTGACTGACTAATTAGTTAAACAAACATCATTAAATGAAGAGGAGTTTCATAATGACATTTTTCCACGATAACATATCTTAAGGAATTTGACTTACTGGTGAGAAATAATCACATAAACTGCTAATCATAATCAGACAAGTTCATTTTATGTTGAGACGGTAGAGTAAACAACATTAGCATCATATGCTAATTATTGTTGGCAAATTGGACGAAATGCTAAAACTTAACAGTAATTATACATAAAAAGTTATCATAGTGAAATCATATACACATAGTTCTCTTTATCATTTTGAGGATAGCAAAAATAAAGATTTGAGCGAAATAGCATGCATTTATTTCATTTCGTTTGATTCGTACCAGCGGCTTACAACCCGTAATATTTTAAAAATCTTAATTACAAAATGGGTTCAAATTACTGATATGATAAATTTTGATCGGAATTTATGTTCACTTATCAGTATAGTATAGCAACGGTGTGACTGAGTCTAGTAAACTAAATAAAATATTGTTGACATGTATCTAATTTGAAAGAAACGTATCTCAACTGATAGTAACAAAAGAACAAGAATCTACAAACATGCGGTTGCGTAATGATCATAAGTAAGAATGTGTGTGGTGCATATATATCTGCCCCCGAATGCCCTGGTACGGCCGAGAGTGGGGTGAGTCCGCTCTCCCTCTCGAAATGCTCTCACACGGCCTCGCGTATATAGCCTCTGTCAGGGAAGTCCTACTCACTGCCTTCTCGTGGCATTACTGTTGTTTACGAAAATGAGAGGACGAAAAGCGAATGTCCGGCGCTTTAACCGGATTCCAAATCAACGGTGCGCATGGGCTCCAGTATCCTGGGGGAACAAATGGCGTATGAACCAATTGTTGGTCACCGGCTTCCATGGAACTGCATCTTATGATGCTCCACTGCCTTGCGGATCAGACCCTCAGGTCGAAGGCTCGGAGTGTGGCCCCATAAGAAAACCACCTGCATCGGTTTGGGCACCCGGGCGGTATCACAGCCCTCACACATATCGAATGAGATTTGTGTGGCGTATATGTATTTGGTGCCTCTTTGTACAAATATTTATGTTTTGAAATAAAAATAAAATAAATTTATGTTAAGGATGCTAGATCCCTAGAAATCACTTGGTAAACGTCTCGGTTTTGTAATTTTATTATGGAAATTTGAATCTCTCATTTTCGCGCCAAAAACATCCATTTCCATCCTCAGTTTGTATTTCCTACCAGGAAAGACTTTAAATGTCATTAACTCGTTTCCTCTTTCAGTAAGCTATTTTGTGACATTTTCCGAAGACAATTTTGTGCTGTATATATACTCATGAGTTGTGTGCTTGTTCGTTCGTGCTTCCGGACTGCTTGTGGAATATATATTTTCTTGGTTGAATCTGGTCTTCTCCCTCTAGTTAGTTGGGCTGTGGCTCAGTGGAATAGCTTAACTTGTCCCGTTGTTGTGTTGCTGATTTTCGTTCTGTTAGCCGATCCTTGGTGATATTGTAATCTCCTCAAATGTAGCATATTATTACAAACAGCATTTTAATGTTATCAAGTATTATTCAATCATAATAAATTTAGACATATAAGACAATGTGAATGTATAATAAGTCAATAATTTTATCGGATTAAACATACCTTATTTATATCTGTTTTTTAATATTTAGGTCGTTGTTTTCTTTTTACCAAAATTTGGTTTCGTGATAATATATTCAAAAATGCAAATTATCGTGTAATATAATAAAATTGTTGGTAAACATGAGTAGTTTCACAAGCGATATTAAAGATTATGAATGTAGCATGTCATTGAATTTTTAATTATATGTAAACTGTCTTTGATATTTACACTATAGAATTAGACCTTTTTTCTATCATTTTCATCAATATAGTGATAATTCATATCTTGACATTGAATAAAATGATGAAATAAGCAAAGAGATATTTCTTTTCAACTAGTTGTTCATCATGATTGTACACTTGACCATACACTAATAATAAATTAAATTAGTCAAATTGACTTGGGTTAGATAGTAGTATTTACAGATTTAAGTGTTTATAGAAACAATTGTGAATGATAAATAAAACACGTAAAAGTTAAAGTGCATAAGGTGAATAATGTTCTAAGGTATTTATTGATAAACGAATAAATTACAATGTGCAGATAAAGGATTAGTAATAATAGAATGGTTGAAGTGTTTGATAAGAAGTTGAATATTGGTAAACGTTACTTATTGCAGAATATGTAGGATCGATAATAGGATATTAAGATTGATAAAGTATTTGTCAAGAAGTTCAATATTAGTAATAACAGTCGAAATATGTAGTCGAAGAATTGATGGTTAATAAAACTAATTAAGTATAAAGCATGAAATACTAAAGTCAAGTAAGGAACCGCAATTGGACGAGAATTGCGGAAGTATTAAAAGTAGTTCTCTTCACTTTTTATATAACCTATATCAATGGCAAAGTCAGAAAGAGGGGTTGTACATCCTTCTCTTTTAGGTACAGGGGATGGATTTCTGGATATGGATTGCGATAGCTTCAACGGCGTGGAGAAGAAAAGCCCGTAAGCTATATGGTAGATTTGATAGAATTAAGTGCCTTAATAAATTCAACTTGATGTCATGTGTAAACTAAATGAGTGAGAATAGAACTTTTAATCACCAATAAATGTTCTTTGCTCAACCAGTTCATATGCTATTCCATAACACTTTGATGGACAATAACACTAAAACCATGTGGCTTGCGTTTTCAATCTGTCTTAGATATCAGTAATTTCGTCTATCATACCACAGGAAAGCGGTTAGTACAAATCCTCATATTGTCACATCAAGATATTGTCTATTTCTTTCCATTTACCACTTTAGTCGTCAATGTATTTTTGAAAATGACAGATTCACTATTTAGTTACTTACGATCTTATCAGTAGTTAGTTTTATATTTACCTGTATTTTGTAACTTTGTGAAATAGGACTGAATTTTGCCAACTGATCCGTTATTCATTATTGATATCACATAAAACACTACTGGACCGTTTATATAATGAAAGTGTTGCAGTTCAAAAGAGGCTCGCCTACGAATTAGCGATTCTTGAAGGAAAGGTCAGTTAACGGTAATTTTATAATAGTTTATTCAGTTTTTGTTGTTGAGAGGTTTTTGATACTATTTTAAATGCTTACATCTCAAATTGTGAGCATTCTTGGGACTGTAATAATCTATTGGTTCGAGTTTTCGTGGTTAGATGGTTTAATGTGTAGCAGAGCTTTGGCTGAGTGTTTTAAATATAGGCCCTTTAATTATCGGAGATTATCTCCAATCCTTTATTACACTTTCGTTATCGGCATATTGATACTATATATACCTTTCATGCCACATAGCATAATTCAAAAACATATAATTAACCGATGGATTGCATAATTAAAAACTTTCTTTCCATGTCAGTCCACAGGCTATCTTTAGTATTGCTACGTAAATTATCCTCTTAATTTCTGGATGAGCGTTTTTAAGCAAGAATAAAGAATTAATTGTGAAGTGAATTGCATTCATTTCATTCACATGTTCACTAATTTGTTCTAATAAACAAAATGTTTTAAAATTGTAATTGTAATATATAGATGAATATCTTAAATGTGAATAAGACCATGATGTAATCGGTGATAAGAAACATTTGCAAGTTTTGATTACGACAGATTAAGTGGCAATAATTACCGAAGAGAAACAACGTTGAATTAATTATAATGGTGAAGATAGTAATATTAATAATGATAACAATAATTGTGGAGGAGTTATGACTAATGTCCAATATATGTTTTCCTATGGCACTGCTAGGTAGTTTGGAGTCAATCAAGATTAAATCGTAATCTTGTTGACATTTAAGGGAAAGTTATCGGGGACAAGTTGAGAATAGTGCACGTATAAGCAAGCCCATTTTAGTAATCTTGATGAATAAAAAACGATTATTTCGTTTTATTAAATCGTAGTATACACGGTGAATGATTCACTAAATCCCGTTATCTCTCATAGTAATCCATTCTGAAGTAAACTTATACATTTATGATGGTATTAATTTAGCTACATATTTTACCAGAGATGTGAAATTCTTCGAATAACAGTATCGAAATAGTTTGGTTGATCTGCAGGTGGTGCTAACGTTTAGTTCAACTTTTGTGAGTGAGGACAATCATTTATTATCAACATAGAACTTGTTGTAGTATTTTAATAGGATAGACCTATCTGTTTGGATTCTGTTCACTTTAATATTTTGGTGACCAATAGGATTTAGATTGTATCAATCAAAAAACATTCTTATCAGTATTAAGTGATGTCATGGTAAAGAACGGTAATTAAAATACGACGTATTATGGTTTATGGATACCGAGAATCTGTTTAGGGGAGTTGTAAAGCATTGGTTCTAAACCTTTGTTGCACATGGATTCCAGGATCCTGACGGGTTGAGTAACATATGCACCTGTTTTTTTTCACTAGCCACCATGGGATCGCATCTCCTAACCTCACTCCATTGCCTTATGAATCAAATCTCTAAGTGGAAGACTCGGGGAATGTCCCCTCAAGAAAACTGCTTGAGTCTGGGTGGTATCTATTCCAACGGACGCGAGCTCTAAAACTGAAACAGACTAAATGGACTGAGAATTGAATAGTCTGTTGCAGAGATCCAGCAACAACACTTTAAAAGAAAATATGAGGTAAAAGTACATATAAAACAAGTCGTAGATTACGAAAACAGATCGATATTGGACCATCTACGTGGAGTTACACATTAATATACGCATCTGTAAATGTTAAACTGTGTGATGAAAATTTAAAATATCTATAACATTTACAACTATGCTATATAGATGTCACCCCCTTTTGACGCATTATATCTAGTCAATTGATATTATGCTAATAAACGGTTCTTTTATGCTGAGAAGTTATCAACGTGCCAAGGATTCGTCGTTTGAATTTTAAATGTCTGTGTTGCTTACTTACTTAAACTTATTACCCAACTTAGTCTGTCGAAAAATATGAAAAGTAGTACACAACTTCAAGGATTGATATAAGGTAGTTTAATGATCGATAAGTAAAAGAGAAATACTCAGATAAGACCAATTGTGTGAAGGATAATTATCCACTTAAGGAGTATAAGAAAGATGTCTAAATTTTAAAAAAAAACATGAAGGTGCCAATAAAAGATGACTAAAGATTAAAAACATTAGAATGAATTGCCAATAACCGATTAACTGTGTGTGAAAATTTAGGTATTAGAGTCATAATATACCTTATTTGCCGAGATGGGGTGTGGTTGGAAAAAGTGGAGAAGTGGTCAGTTTATGACATGATGCTCGGGTGTAAAACAAAACTAAACAGGACTGAGATCTTTCAATCCTTTATAATTCTCTGACTGAGGTCTGAGAGATGGTGCAATCTAGTTAGTTGAGACTATCAGATGTGGCTCAAAATAGGCTTTGGTGTTAGTCCTGATGTAATTTGTCTTTCTTTCCCATATAAAAGTGAGAACTTTTTTAACTGTAAAGATTGAGATCATGAACCGATTGATGTTAGACCATCACAATTGAAAACCTGGAAGCACTTCACAGCCGTTTCGTCCTATTGTGGGACTCCTCAGCAGTGCGCACCCACGACCTCGCTCGCGGGATTCGAGCCCAGGGCCTTCGGTCTCGCGCGCGAACGCTTAACCAACTGAACCACTGAGTCGGCATCCAATGGTTGTATTTTTATGTACTGAACTGCTCATCCGTTCACTTGTTTCTATTCATTTATTGGTATCTGATTATATTTACCTTTGTTCATTTATCCCTTCATTATTTCATACTTTGATTTATATGACCCATATTTATTTTGGTCCTCATTTCTTTCATTGTGTATGCGTTCAAATAAATAAATAAAATGGACATTTTGTTATTTGAATTTGTATTTTTGAGACGCTTATTTGATAGGATTTCACTTACAATCTTATTAGTTTACTGATAAAATCACTAACTACTTTGTCAAGTATTTCTGAAATTCGAATCTTGAAAGGAAACATATGGTGTCTTCACCTTCTAGTCTTAATCTGGCAGTTAAAAAACAATCAAAAAACCTAGATGATATCTTTCGGCAGTCAGCATCTTTTATACATCTGAAGATAATTTTTGTTGCTTACTAACTTCAGCTAAATAGAGATTCAAATCCAGAGTCGTTTGATGAACTCTTTCATATTATGCGCCGGCCTAACATTGCACAAATCTGCGGCTGTACATGACATTAAAATAAAGAACCTTTAGTTTCGTAGACTATTGTTTTTTTTAAAAAAAATTTCTCCAGTCGATTTCATTTCTTAATTAAAAGTTGTCTGTTTGATTTACATTTCGCAAGCCATTTACTGAAACTTACATATTTATTAAATTCAACAACATGAGTTTCCTAATATTTAGCCTTTTTTGTTGTTGAAAAAATCTTTTTAATCAGGCCAATAATCATGTGAAGGCTTTAAAATATCTTATTGAAGATGTAAATGATTATAAAGCCGCATTATACTATTGTCTTACATTCAGCCATCAACAGCCTATTCATTGTAGTGCACGTAACAATGATACTAATGTAAAATGTAATACAATAGCAGTAAATTCACTTGGTACTTATCACTATTGGGACCAGTTTGAATTTATGGAAGGTGATTCTAATAATCAATCAATATCCTCCTTGTTATTTACAACATTTGTTGAAATCTGTCTTGATAGGTAAGAATTTGACCTGATTTAAATTATAGTTTACTATTTATGGATTAATATTTTCATAATAACAATATGTAGGAGGGTTTTTTAAACTTGATTTATTCTCATGAATAACTTAAAAACTGTCTACAAGCTTTACTAAATCATTATGATGAATATTAATTGTGTGTTGACTGCTGATTAGGGTCGATTATGAGTTCTAGGGTTATTTTATGATACCATGGTCTGTTTGTTCAACTCTGTGTGACTGGATAATATTGTACTCATTTCAAATGATATGTTCAATCCTAAGATTAGTTGTGGATATGCGCCACCGAGGAGCATCAGATTAAAAAAATACACTTTCAATACCGTTTAGTTTTACTGATCATCCATTGCATAATAAAAATTACTTTCCAGTTGTAAAACTGTAGTGATTGGAAATAACGGAATTCGTAATGACTAGGAATACTGTATATACCAGTATCGAAATCAGTGAGATTATAATGAGCGCGATTAGAAATATTGTATTTGAAAATCAGCTCAACCGTAGAACCACGTATAAAAGAAATCATAGATTAGTACCAATACCACAAAAACATCTCGACAAAATCAATAAAGTAAATTAAGATTATTAGGTCAGAATACAGATTTAATGAACGGAATTACAAGTGTAGTCCAATGAATTGAAAGATAATAAAAATGATAGCGATAACTGAAATAGTCATTTGAATTTTTGTTCAGTTTTCATAAGTTGTGGTGTCTATGGCTTTCAAAAGTAGTTGGATTATATTGATCGATTATTTCATTATCAAGTTCAAAAGAAACTAGTATATGTGTTACAAAATAAGTCTCACTATTGTCATGAGTTTTTATCCAAAAATTGTGTTTATACAAAGTAATTGATAGATTGTTACTTTTAATATACATTTTTGAATAATTTTGATTTCATTGGAATTTATGTGATTCAGAACAAGTCAGTGAATAAAATGATTGACATCTACCCCTACATTTTATATCTCTTACTGAATTCACATCAGTACGTAGTTTTGGAGCAAATATTTGATCTGATTTTTGTTAAATGAATTGTCAGATCAATCAGAAAACATAGAAATCGTAAGTAAGTAGACTCCAAAAACATAAATGTCGAAATATTTAAGTTTGATCATATCCTAAATACTCTGTGATCTGTAAAATATTAAGTAATTTAGTACGTGGATGTTACAAGTTGTAAGCAGTCTCTGAGATTCCATTGAGCTAAAGTTTCAAGGGAACCAGCATTAGGTGAATAACCATTAGAAATCAATGATAATCGAATAATTGTTTCTACTTATTTGGATGTTGTGTTGTATTAAGTTTGTTGAGACATCTATTTTTTAGTATTGTGTTGTGATGTGTGAATCATCTGTAGTTAAAACTGTGAAATATTGGTTTTCAACTCGTTTATTCACTGAGAGATGTGACGATTTTTGTTTCCGTTTCATGTAGGATCGCGAGTATTCTTTATAAATTAGTCTCAAACTGAGATGAATGAGTTATCGAGTGCCTCTTGGTTTTTGCCATTTTTAATTTGATTTCAGTTCATGATGAAAAGCATATTTGAATCACGTGTTACATTATTTAGTCATGTTATCAGAAATTACCAGTATTTTTCAAGTATGAGATATAAGTTACATAATAGTAATAATAAGTAGTAGTTTATATATAGATATATGGGAAAATTACCTACTTGATGAATATGAAGAACGAAAGAATTTCGTACCAATAACTTGTAAAATTAGAAGTAGTACTAAGATCATGGTACAATAATATATTAAATATGTCTCTCGTGAACACAAAGATCAGGTTTGAATTGGTGAACTGACAATTCCTCAGAAATGTACAAATTTCTGATCCAAACACTTTAATCCAATTTTCGCAACTTCTTAGATGCCCTTTAATGGTGGTTCTTTTGAATTGAAATAACGTAACACTTTTCTATTTTGTTATAATTTATATGTAAAAACTAACCATAAATATGACTGTAAAGTTCAATTAAATGATATTGTTGAATATAAAATTTTATGCGCCAAATCCCTTTCATTTTTCATCTACGTTAACTAATAAATCTTGTTAAAATCACAGAAATTTCTAGTTTCTATCTATTTGTTACGTGAAAATTTAACACTTCGAAAATAAAAGGGTTTTGTAATCGAGTCAGAACAGCACACATATACGAACAATATTTTCTATTAAACACTTCATCAGACTTTAATGTAATTTTTACATGGATGTATTAAAAATATTGAACCAGTCAAGACAATATGTTGGTTTATTGTAACAATGAAAAAGTTTTACATAACTGCTTGTTTGACAGGTTTAGTAATAAGTAAAATAGTAGTAAAGTAGTAATATAAATAAGAATCCTGACTTAAAAAGTAAGTCAAAGTTTGCAAAGATAAATGTATCAAAATAGTTATTATTCTTAACTAGACCATTGTTAAAGACTAAAAATGGCTGAATAGCTGTTACGTCTTAATATGGGACTCAGTAATGTGCATCTAATGCCCTTCCATACGAAATCGAACCTTAGAATGTTGGCCCCGCATGCGAACTCTGAGCGCGCTGCTAAGTAGTCACACGTTTAGATTAAATAATGGTTCAGTCCTTTCTTGTTTTCAATGGTGACCTAGCTATTATTAATTCGTGATTTAAATAATTAAAATCTTCGCCATCTCCATAAACTCCCTTAAACTAAAAATATTAATGATTGAAAATTACGTACTAATGAATGTATGAATAGTCAGTTTAAGTATACAGATAATTATCATTAATTCACAAATTGTTTTAACTCGTTTCTACCTTTTTCATACATGCAGATAAAAATTATGGTATATTAGGTGTGAAGCTAAATAAATATCCAATGGAAAACAACTTTGTTCACTTATTTGTGTTGTTTAGGCTTTTTACACTATGAAAATTTCTGAAAAAAATTCATCCCCAATCTATTAAATTATTCAAAAGTTTAACAGTTAAAAACAGTGAACTGAAAACTTTTAACATTATAATGTCTTTTTTTCACTTGTTTCTATGTATTCGTTCTCCTCTCTGTTTCTTTGTCTCTGTTTAAATAGACTTCTTATTAACGAGAACAATTCTAATGATATGAAGAAAATGATTTTGAATCTTCTAAATAATCCTGATTTAAAATTTGATTATTCAAAGGTAATTAGTTACTCTTTTTCCTCTATGTCTCATATATGTTAAAATTGTTATAATGATACATTAATGTTGCTTTATTCAATAAGTCAATATTGTCGATCCTAGACATGATAGCAATTAATTTCATCTTAGTATTCTCTCATAATTACTTGAATTCGTGAATGCGTGATAGACATTCATAGATTTATTTAATCATAATTAAATTGATCGTCTACTTCGTTTGAACTCTACTTTGATTTGTTGCTTTTCACTTAAACGAATTTCGCTGTTTGATTTAACTAAGACTTTAGAGTTTTTCTATTCGATCGAATTCTTTTCTTAGTTGCTAATGTTCTATCTATTCTAAGAAATGACATAAGCATAATTCCCATCTTGATTTGCTCGAAGTTAACTGCTGACTGTGTGCACAATATGCAAAATCGTTCTCTCGACCCATAGACAATCCGCTATCATCAAACCGCTTAAATTTAACTTTGATATATTCGAATGACAATTTAATATTTAGCTACATCTAGTTAAATATCATAGTAATAAAGTTCCAATTCTTATTGTAATCCTGTATACAAGTGGGTTTTGGTTATTAATATAAGGTTCATTGATCTTATAGTAATCACAGACTCAAAATTACTGACTGTTTGTCAGACAAAGGTACCGTGCAAACTATTTGTTTTTAATGTTTTCCAGTTTTCATTGTCTCTTTCACCTGATATAGATTTTTTTTAACGAAAACTATCTTCAAATTATTCATATTCTTTGAAAAAGAAACATTAAATATTGTTATTTTCCTTCCAGTTATTATCTCGTTTGCCATCAACATGGAACATTCTAGAAATCGAACCATTCTTACATAATGCATTTCGATCTACTATACAAGAATGGTCAGAACTTCAGTTAGAATATGGTTTGACTAAATATAATGCGAAATTGTCTATTGCTGATCTCCCTAACAAATCACATTGTCTATTAATTAAAGATGATACTTTGTGTTCTATATGCCATCAATCAATTTGTGTATATGGTCCATCTGATAGCTTTGCTTGGTTTATTCCTAAAAACCAAGTTGTTCACACTCATTGTTTGTCATCTAATCAATAAATAAAATCTATGCTTATGTAATTCCTTTTCCTCTAATTTATTTTTGTACTTCTGTTGTTTGCCTGATGTTTTCTTATTTATTGATTTTGTTTTTTCTTCTATCTTGTTGATGATTAAAGTGATTCAAACGGACAAACTGTTCTGCACTATATTTAGTTTACTTTCTTTTTCTTTGTTTAATGTACATATTTGCACGTTTTCTATGAGCTATTACGTTTTCTTGTATTTATATATACATAATATTAACAACTTGTTACTTTAAAAGAATATCCACTCTTGTCATAACTGTTGAACAATTTATTGGCCATCTAAATTCAGTAGCATAATGAATGAAGCATTTAAATTTAGAGCGATAATTTTCTAAATTTTAGTTTACATGTAAACACTAAGATTCAAAGACGTTTAGTTAACGAATCGTAAATAATATAAGAACCTTCACCCTTGACTATGTTGCGATGTATAATCCGAAGACATAATAAAATTTGCAGATGAAAGCAATTTTAATTGTTTATTTGAACACACAAACATTGGTACAAGGGGTCACCAAATACATATGCGCAACACAATAACCACGAGTGTGAGGAGATACAGAATGTAAAGTGCGTATGATATAGAGAATAACAACAACAAACAGATATTAGTGTATGAGGGTGAAATAATAATAATAGTGGGAGTAACAGTTCAGTTAGTAAAAATACAACCAGAAATATTCCTTTCAGTTAAAGAAGTTACGTTCCCCTTTATGAAGAAAGTAAAACAAGTTACCACAGGATCACCACTGGCTTCTATTCTGAGCCATGTCTGATAGTGTCTCAAACCACTGTGCTGTACCATCTCTAGGACCTCAATTAGGAAGTCGTGAAGGACCAACAGAAGTCAGTCATTTACAGCATTCTTTCATACCTCAACACAATATCATACACTGACCACCTCACCACTTTTTGCAACCAGTCCCAGCATCGGTAAACAATGCACAACTTGGAATTCTCTGGGAAGACATTGGCAGAACATGTGTAAGCCAGCAAAGTCGATGTTTCAAGATAGTGACACCAATTGAATTATCGTATCTGTTGTGACTTTATGTCCGGCCTTTTATCACGTGACCTATCCACCAATCAAAACACGACCTATACAATCTTAGCACTGTGCCAAACAAATGACGTTCGACCGGTATGAGCAGCCTAGCGTCCTTATTGGTCCTATGTCCGCCTAGCCCGTCCACTTGAGTCCAGAACACCAATACCAGCTTCCACTATGCGAATGGAATCGAATCATTTATTTCAGACATACTGGGCTTACATATCAACCAAACAGACCTCAAAGCACCATATAATAGGAAATAACATTTGTACACAATAAAGCCAAAAAGTGGCTGTGAACGTAGGAGACAGTAGTCAATAAACTGAAGATAGCTTCAGAACAATAAATCGTACAATAAATTATAGGTCAAAATAAAGCTTATAACAAAAGGAATAAAAATATATATAATCTAATTATTGAATAGTTATACCATAAGAATGCATAGCTAATATTGGTCATTTAATATGTCTCAGAAGTTACTCGTGATTTAATCTTCGCTCGGATACAACAGTATCTGTGCCCGAACACACGATGTAGAACCTCTGCATTACTAATATGGTGTTGCCACTGAATGTCAGCAATCCTTCGGAGATCGCGATGATCGAACACAGAAAGTCGTCTAACATCCTCAACTCAGAGGGGACAGGTTTCACAAGCATAGAGCAAAACCACTCTCACCGACGCGTTGTAGATCAGACCTTTTACAGTTAGACTGACATCACAAAGGCGCCAAAGATGACCCAGATTGGCATAAGCCACTCTAGCTTTCACTATATGTGAGTCGATCTCATCACTCACGCCACAACCAGCACTTATGCAACTACCACCTAGATACACGAACTTCTCGACTACTTCTATCTGCTCACTAACCAGGGTGAGTACGGGATTGGAGTCCTGCCAGTCTTGTAGAAGTACTTTGCACTTCGAAGGTGCAAAGCACATACCATACCTACGGACGTTGATTGCCAACTGATTAAGTGCGGATTGCATGGCTTGGGTATTGTCGCACATTAAGACAACATCATCCGCATACTCAAGGTCGAGAAGTCTTTCTCTAGGCAACAGATCCACATTGCCATTACTTATATCAATCCTAGCTGTTTCTAGAATGTCATCGATATCAAAGTTGAAGAGGAATGGTGAGATCAGGCAACCCTGCCTAACCCCACTGCTCGAATGGAACAATGGAGAGAGGTGGTTGTATGCCCTCACTCTACCTGACGTGTTTGTAAATGGGGCTTTCAAGATGTTGATAAAATCCTCAGACACACCCTTCTTCAAAAGACAGTCCTAGGGAACTGTCCTGTCCAACGAATCAAAGGCAGCCCCGATGTCGAGAAACACTACGATTGTTGACCTGTGATAAGAATGACGGTGTCCTAACATTCGGTGAAAGGTGAAGATATGATTAATACATCCTCAACCAGAACGAAAACCAACCTGCCCCTCGCGAGTCAATCTTTCTCGTGTTTTGAACAATCTACGAAGTATGACTCAAGCCAATAGTTTGGACTCAGATGGAAGTGTACTTATCCCTCGATAGTTGTTACAGAAATCACGTGAACCCTTTTTAAAGATAAGGACAACTATCGACTCGTTCCATGATGTTGAAGCACTCTGATTGTCAGACCATTGTAACCAACTCAGACAATTCCTTGCCCAGAAAGTCACCACCATCTTTTATAAGGACCGGAGGTAAGTCACATGAACCTGGTGATTTGTAGCGCTTCAAGAGTTAGAGTTCTTTGCGAACGTCTGCCTGGCTAAGTGAACCAGTCGTCCCAGGTCACAGAGTGCAGGACACTTCGATCGATGTCGCCGGGGCAACAGGTCAGTTGAACTTCTCGAAAAACTGTCCATCGATCAAGACGTCGATAGATATTAGTGATTGGCATCCCGTCATCTTCACAGATTGTTTCACTCACACCAGACTTCTTGCTGCCAATGGCTCGGGTGAGTTGAAAGATCTGCAAACTGACAGATGCAGCCACTGTTTCTAACTTATTGTCACGCTCCGACCACCAGGCTTCTCGGTCCTCACATAAGCTTTGTCCGATTTCATTACTAAACAATCGTCGTTTATGGTCAAACTCACGGTCATCCGGAGTAGACTGACGTGCTTCAATGAGTTGTAAGGAGCCTGAAGAAACACAGTGCTTATAAGAGGGACGTTTCGCGAAGCCGCAAGAGACTTTACTCGCGATTTTCATGGCGTCATGCAACTGCAACCAATACTCATCTATAATTTACTATGAGATTTTACCCATCCTTGAACCTACCTTAGTTTGATGTTTAATTGCAACAGAAGCTGCAATCAATTCTCCGACATCGATCCGTTTATAACGATGGATTTGCTGACCATTGAAACCTAAGGTAAGATTAGCGCAAACAAGGGCATGGTCAGAGTTCAGATAGGTACTCTAAAAGGAGTGGAAGTATTGTATACAACCAAACCATCGGTCGCTGATCGCGATGTGGTCAATCTAAGTCCAGGCTTGATTCAGAAGAAGGACGCCAGGTGGTACATCTACGATAACTGTGTCAGTAGTTCGTGCTGCGCTGGGCTGCAGTAGACGGTCATCTCTATATGACCTGTGACCAACACTATCTGTTATCCGATCTGCATTAGTTTGCGAACGTTGAAGGAGACTAGTTTGAATGGTATACGTGGTTTCAGAAAGACTGTTTCAGTATTCGTATTCTGTGGTAGCATTCAACTTTCGACCAGTCAGTGACTCGATATCGTTTAGATGAAATAGATTCGTCACCATAGGCGAGCTACCGTATAAGTTAAAAAATAAAATACACAAAATGAAAATAAAGAAGAATACTTAAGTGGCGTAGTACAAAAGAAATAAAAACGAATATTAGATGATTGTGAAGTAACATTTTCCTCAGCAAGCGTTGAAGCAAGAGAAAGTTTCCCAGTCTTAGTTATCATTGATTTGTGCGTGGGTTGTGATACGACCCAGGTTCCCAAACCAAAGCAGGAGGTTTTTTTGGGAGGCCGATCCCCAAGTATTTGACCTGAAGGTCTAGTCTACAAGGCATTGGATCAACATCAGGAGATGCAGTCCCGTGGTAACCGATCACCAACAATTGGTTCATGCACCATTTGTTCCTTAGGATCCTGGAGCCCATGTGCACTATTGGTTTGGGATCACAGTTTTCCAACTCCCCTAGGTGAAGTCTCCCTGCCCACCAACCCGGTTAAAGCGCCGGACATTCGCTTTTCGTTCTCTAAATTCCGTAAACAACACCACCGCAAGAAGGCAGTAAGTAGGACTTCCATGGCAGTGGCTGTATACGCGTGGCCACGTGAGAGCATTTAGAGAAAGAGAGCTGACTCTCCCCACCCTCAGCCGTACCAGGGCATTTGAGGGCCATAAAATCATGGTAAATATGTTGCTAACAGTGACTAAAGCAAATTCAATCCTGATTATCAACCATTGGAAAATAAACCTTTACGAATGAGGATACTATATTGGCTGTGCTTCGTTAACCAATCACCCTCGTAACCGTTACCATGTAATCCTCAACGGTGTTTGAAATTAGAAGGCAAAGAGAAGCAGCGACTACAGTTTTATTAGCAGATAAATCACAAAGCAGAGGCGAATGAGTGGGTCAGAGAACCGAGAGTGTAGAGTGTTAAATGTACATACATATATATAGGGAAATGAATGGATCACCGAATCAATCAAGCAGCTAATAATAAAGCTAGCAGAATGAATATATGCGCAGGCTGTAAACAATGTTCAAGCATACATATTTCATACAAGCACAACAATAATAAAGGTATAATAAGTTGTTATAGTACGGATGACTTTGTCCGCTGAATAAGTTAACAAAAGGGCTTAACCAAGTTAAATGAGACCAAACTCAATTGCACGTGATTTGCTATAATACCTTATAATTGAACCAATTTTGAACATAGTGAAGTGAATATTAACTAGTTATGGTCAAAGTTTTAATGTAATATTTTGCCGTAATATTATGGCTAGTTAGCCGTTAAAACTATACAAATCCTTAAACCCGACAAATTAAATTTAAGAATGTTCTTTAATCATTAATATTTAGTTTAAAAGATTTTATTGTCGTGTGGTATGTTATTATAAAATTTCTATGAAATCAACGGAATGTTTTGACATATGGTATTTTAGCAAACTTCATATTTTCTAAATATTTTAAATTTATTTAACTAATGAATTTACAGACTAAGTTAATTTTATTCTCACTAAAAGTACTAATTAAGTATTCAACAAAGATTGATAATTAATGAATTGTGAATTTCACCATTCTTAATATAACGTTTTTCTCTTAAATTTCGCATTTCTATTGGAGGTTTTTTTATTTGAAGAGCAAGTTTCACAATTGATTGATCACTGGATAGCGATCAATGTCATGCGTGTCTGGTCC